TCTGCTGAACATCTTAAATATGCCAGTATGAAGATAGCTCCTCTCCTTTCTATTTGCTTTACGGCCTTTATGAGTCATGGCTTGTTACCAAACTCAATGTTGTCTGTTCTGTTAGTGCCAGTTATTAAGGACAAAGCCGGTAAAGTGGGAAGCCTAGATCAGTGTTTCTCAAACTTTTTCATACCAAGGACCACTTAACCAATACAAAAACACTCGCGGACCACCTAACTCCACAAATATACAAAAACACATCGTTTTTCTAGAACAGATTACAAATCGCCTGAAAATTGTACAAACAAGTAGCAACATGTGTGATGAAGGTGTTGCGCTGGGCTATATGATGCAATCGAAACTTAAGCTCGCTCCATTGCGGAATTATTCGCGCGAAAGTGCGGAAAACTTAAATGTATTTATTTCAAATGTGAAATGTTACCAATATACTCACGGACCACTAGGGGGCGCTCACGGACCACCAGTGGTCCGCGGACGACACTTTGAGAAGCACTGGCCTAGATAACTATAGGCCCATAGCGTTAGCCAGCATACTGTCAAAAGTGCTAGAAAGAATTCTGCTGGACAGATGAAATGACTTTATTAACTCAACAGATAACCAGTTTGGCTTTAAGGCTAAACATGGCACTGACTTGTGTACGCCTTAAAGGAAATGGTTAACAAATATAGAGGTAATAACTCATCAGTTCTTATGTGTTTCATTGATGCTTCTAAAGCCTTTGATCGTGTTAATCATAGGAAGTTATTTGTTAAACTGAGTCAAAGAGGGGTGCCCAAATACATTGTGAGAATTCTGGTCTACTGGTATGGCCACCAGGCTATACAAGTAAAATGGGGCAATAGGGTCTCAGCCCCATTTGGGGTTAGCAATGGTGTCAGACAAGGTGGAATTATGTCCCCAGTTCTTTTTAACCTTTATATTGATGATCTGTCTAAAGGCCCTGTCACACTGTCCCGAAATTGACACCCCGATGGACACACGAATATGGAATTGTGAATTTCGCACGAAGATGGCCCCGAACCACACATGAAGGCAACATTTACATTACATTTAAGACATACAACTGCAATGAAAGTACCAAAAACAATTATGTTACAGTACTATGATACTGTACTGATATGTTCAGACTTTGTTCTTTACTTTATCCGTCGCTATATGTAGAAAATATTACGTTTTCTCCGTAATGTTGTTTCCATAACAACAACAACTTCCTGTCAACTGTCCTTCAAAATAATATATTATATCCTTTTTAGTTTCACAGAACACAAATTGGGTTATTTACATAATATATTTACATGATTTTGTTGTGCAATAAAACAACCCGATGGACACACGATAAAGGAAATGTTCAAATTCGGCTGTGATCGTAGCAACATCGGGCCATTCGTGAGGGCATCTTAAGCCATCGTATGACGCCGGTGGAGTTTCTCAGGCTCCGGCAGCAACTTCGTGAGCGGTGGGCAAAATCTTTGGCATGCCAAAAAATTGCCGAAGGACCTTGCGAAGATTCATTTTCGTGTTGAATTTGTGTGTCAATTGTGCCCATCGTGAGGGCATCTTGTTATCATCGGTGCCATCGGGCATTCGCCCCGATCAGAGTGAGGGTGAATGCACCGATGATAACATGAAGATGACACGACTTGACAAGATGCCCTCACGAGTGCCTTACGAAGTTGCCGCTCACGAAGTTGCTGCCGGAGCCTGAGAAACTCCACCGGCGGTCATACGATGGCTTAAGATGCCCTCACGAATGGCCCGATGTTGCTACGATCACAGCCGAATTTGAACATTTCCTTTATCGTGTGTCCATCGGGTGTCAATTTCGGGACAGTGTGACAGGGCCTTCAGCGACTGAAAGCCTGTAATACTGGATGCATGATTGGTAGTACTCTAGTGAACCATATTATGTATGCAGATGATCTTGTTGTGCTGAGTCCATCTAGCGCTGGTCTTCAGCAGCTTCTTGCTGTTTGTTCTGTGTATGGTGTGGAACATGACATCAAATACAACGCCAGTAAGAGTGCGGTCATGATCTTTAGAACCAAAGAGGATAATTTCCTGATTTTAAATTGTCTGATATTAATCTTAGTGTCTGTAATAAGTTAAAATATCTTGGACACTTTATTACAGAACAAATGACAGATGATGAAGATATGTATAGGCAATGCCGCATGATGTATGCACAAGCAAACATTCTCCTACGTAAGTTTAGTGCATGTACAGATGGAGTGAAGATGTCTCTGTTCAGAGCATATTGCACACCGCTCTATACGGCACATTTGTGGTCAAACTACAGAAAAGCAAGTTTACGGAAACTTCAAGTAGCTTATAATGATGCCATGAGAATATTGCTGAAGAGACCTCGATGGTCTAATGCAAGTGAAATGTTTGTGGCTGCAGGAGTCAATACTCTACAAGCTGTTTTAAGAAAACTCATGTATAAATGTATTTGCCGGCTTAATGACTCTGATAATGAAATCCTCCTGGCCTTATCAAACATAAGGTATAGTACTACACGCCAGAGATGGGGACTCGAGTCTGTGACTCGGACTCGAGTCGCACTTAAGTCGCACACACAGAGACTTCAGACTTGACTTGGACTCCTGCTCAAAAGACTTCGGACTCGACTTGGACTCGTGTTTTGGGACTCGTGAACAATCATTGTATTTTCTATTTTTGGCGTATTAAAGGTGGGGTAGGTAAGTTTGAGAAACCGGCTCGAGATCGCCAGAATTTGAAAATACACAACCGGAGAAAATCTGCCACTTCCTCACAGAGCCCCTCCTCCAACACACACGAACGCGCACATGACCAATGAGGGCACGAGATAAGTTTGTGCCCCGATGGGAGGCTGACAGGCAGGTAGGCCATCCAGTTACTTTAGCCGGGCCGGCTATCGGGATGTTAAGAGCATTCCATGGAATATAACAAAAGGTGTATCTCGAGCCGGTTTCTCAAACTTACCTACCCCACCTTTAACATTAACATTATGGTAACACCATGCCGACCGGCGGCACACCTGCAGCTGTACCGCTTGTAATTAGGTTCAACTATAAAAACTTCGAACAAAACGCCGGCGGCACCAACAAAAGGAGCGCACACTACAAAGTCTGCAATATTAAAATCAAGGATGCTGGTGCATCAACGTCAAATTTCATCAGGCACTTGAAAACTCACCCGGAGAGGTCAGTCACATTAACGCATATGGACGGTTAGCAAACATGTTTAGCTCAGCATCAGCTATGTAATGTTAACTTAGCTTGCTACTAGCTTTGTAACTGAATATTTGAAAAGATGAGTGAATGTTTGCTTGTCACACTTGTTTGCATTGAGTGGCGTTGACATCCAACTCTTGACATGACGTAAAAAAGGTCGGTAACGTTAATCATTACGTTCCGCTGCCACCATCTACTGGCTAACGTTAAACGTAGAAAAATACATAGTTACATACATAAATACATCTGTCGGTTTATAAGCAGGTTACAGGTTTATTGTTGACCACGTAACGTTAATGTTACAGGTTTCTCATGTTACCATTACACTGGGTTTGAGTGAGAGGATAGAGGAATATGTTTATTTATAGTAGACTTAAAATATGTCATTAGAGACCCAGTGTAATTAAACAATACGGTTGCAGAGGTCAAATTTTAACATTTTTGTCCACTGGCCAAATGGCTAGCCTAGTGAATGTTGAAATGTTACCAGCCACTCAATAGATTGCCATTGTTATTTGTGGCTGGTGCGTGCAACATACAGTACCCAGCCACTTGCATGATTTACCAGCATTTGGCTGGTAAATGGTGTTAATGGTAGATATCTCTTTTGGAACAGGTCATGTTTTAATATCACCAGTTCAGTATATTTCAGATAATATTGCAGCAATAGTTTTTTAGTTGCAAATGGCACAGAACAAATGTTTACTCTTAAGTACTTTTAACACAGTTTCCTTGCGGGGGATTAATAAAGTATTTGTGATACTGATTTCTGATTCTGAAGTGTTTTGCTTATAAGTTGTTTGCATTTAGCTAAAGTGTGATGTTTTTCCTCATATTGCATTGCAATAGCCTGTTTAAAGTGATCATATAACAAACAACTAATCAGTACTGATACTGTATGCTAATAGATATAGGAGTGATAATAATACAGTAAATGCTTTGAATTTCTTAGATATAGCTGTGCAGTATTCTTAACAGACTGGATAGCAGCAGACAATAGAAGGCTTATTACAACCAGAAGAGACATGAGACTTTTATTTTTTAGAGACTTGAGACTTGACTTGGACTCGTGACCAAAGACTTGAGACTTGACTTGGACTCGTGACCAAAGACTTGAGACTTGACTTGGACTTGCAAAAAAAGACTTGTGAACATCTCTGCTACACGCTACCAATCGCAGCTGTGGAGACATTGATATAGTTGTCTCTTTGTAGGACACTGATTTAAATTATTGTTAAACTATGAATTTTTTTTATGCTGTGTATGTAATTTATTATATGTAATGCCTTGTCTTTTATCTGGACCCTGACTCTGTAATAAAGTTTTGATTGATTGATCGATCTAGACCGACACATTGTTTGTGTCTGTCTGTGAGGTATGATTTTATCTATTTCATTACAGTTGATGAGCATTTGACTTTGGATAACTTTTTTATTTAAACCTTATTGTATACTGCATCAAAAGCTTTTCATTTTTTTTTATCTATAAAAAAAGCACAACCTTTTCTTGTCCAGTTGAGTCTGAATATTTTCCCGAAAATAAATATGCGCAGTTTTTCAAGTTGAATCATTCATCAAGTTGAATGATTTTCAAAGAACCAATCAGACATAATGCAAAAAAAGTTGAATCGCCTCCTCTTCACTTTAGAAACTTAAAAGTAGGGATTTGGGTTTTACAGATCCTATTTTCAGGTGCAAAGCAAAAACCCAAAACATTCACTCAACTTTTAATCCTTGACAGTTAACATTTTATCGGCAGGCTAAGAAACTCACCTTGGAGTTGAGCATGATCTCAGGTGCTCTGTACCAACGAGTGGCTACATACTCTGTTAGGAACCCAGTGTGATCGTGGTCAGGATCAGCCACACGTGCCAAACCAAAGTCACAGATCTGCAGAAACAATGTGTGACAAGACAGGGAAAGAATGAAGCATTAGCAGATACACGATACAAATAAAATGGGTGTCAATTCGTAACAACTCAAAACGGACATTTTCGGAGCAATTGTTGTTTTGTACTTAAGAGGGGTACATATTGTACTAATATCTGTCATGTGCTCTTGTTGTCATTGCTAATCAGCAAAGCAGACTCTCAGGGTGAAATACTGTATAGCACTAAAGTGCTGTAGCCAAAACGTGCACATATTCTTAAGAAGGTAATAATAGAGATAGTGTGGCCTGAACCATGACAAAAATCTAAACTCTATTATTTCAACCTTGTCCATGTCATTGGAGACGCAATATAGTCTAAATCATTTCCGTTCTCACCTTTCACAAGCCCTTGACAAATAAACGGCGCCACTGCTTCCCAGAGGGCACTAAAATAAGTCTTAACATAATAACAACTCTTCTCTGCAAGGATTAAACCTACACAGTGTGACATCTGGAGGTGGAGACTGCTGAGATGTGAACTCTATCTTATACTAATATGTTCATATGCATGAACAAAATATGATACAACAATAAACTTAGATTGCTCTTTTTTTGAACAAATACAAAAAGTGACATGTTATGTCATTTATTATTGAATAATTGTTTGGGATGTTGAGGTGTTGGTAATGGTATTGGTTTGGTATCAAGATATAGGCAGGTATCAAATCAAACTCATAACTTTGGTATTGTGACATCCTTAGTGCAGAGAACACAACAGTGCCGATGTAAATTGCCAGGAAACACTGACCAATAAGAGCACACTGTGCTTTTCTGGGATTGGGGCTTAAGAAGGCATGCTCTAAAACACTGCATTTTATTAACCTTAAAAGCATGTAAACAAAATCAAAAATACAAATATGAACCTGATAGTGAGCATTATATTCTTCCCATAAGAGGGTTTTTTACGCTGACAAAATTAAGTTTGGGATGATATGACTTGAATTGGTAGGTTTTGGCATTACATATGAAACAACATATGTATAATCAGGGACTTAAAACAGGCTTTCAAATCAGCCCATTCAGTTTGATTCCTGTTCATTTGTCTTTGAGCAACTACCTTGAGATCACAGGTGGTGTTGAGCAGAAGGTTGGAGGGCTTCAGGTCACGGTGCAGGACGTTGGCAGAGTGGATGTACTTCAGCCCTCTTAGGATCTGGTAGAGGAAGTAGCAGATGTGGTCGTTGCTCAGGTGCTGAGTCTTAAGGAGCTTGTACAGGTCGGTCTCCATGAGATCCTGGACAATGTATCTGCACAGTTCCAGGTTAAAGAACTTCTCATTTTAAACCTGGGCAATTTGTTTTATAATTTCCACATAGTCATGCAAAATAACATCTCAAGGTTTCAGCGTTGGGCAATCAACTGTAAAGTGACAAAAACTGACATTATGATCATTTTTTTGTTGTCATATCAACATGAATAAAACGATAAATCAATTCCTTCATACAGACACCTCCTTACCTCTGGAGTTCGACAGTTTATTTTTACTGCCCAGCCCTAGTAGCTCAACAAAATGGAGGTTTTACCACCACACTGAAATTGGATGTTGTAAGCATTGCACAGAAAATGAAATGCTTTGCATCATGTAGCTTGACAATTATCCTTTTTTTGTTGTTGTTCCTGCAGACTGGCAGTGCAACTAAAAAAAGCCAAACTGCTGACTTGCATAGTTTTGTGGGCAACCTCTCAACTCAGTCAAATCTAAAATTACCCATGGTGGGTAAATGAGCCATGCAAGTATAGTTAGAATGTACTGAAGCCAAGTTTAAAATTGTTTTGTTTGGGTGAATTCTCATCTTATCTGGCAAGCAACAATAAGTGAGCTGGTTAGATGCAGGGTTTGGTCAAATCCATTTCTTTACATAAGGCAGAGTGTAAAATGTCTGCATTATAAAACAGTAAGTATGCAGCTTCTATTGCTGCCGGGCTACAGTGAAGACTGTCTCTGCCAAATATATGGCGACAGGTGGCTATTATGTAATAAAGTGCAACAGAAAACGTTTATTCAAGCACAAATGCTGCCGCTTAGGACCAAGTAGTGTCTAATGGTGTAGCAGTAAATCATGACTATCTATAAAACCATCCAATACTCCAAGTACTTTAGCATGCCAACAACAACCTTACATGTAAAGAAAGACCCATTTATGATGTGAAGGACAAGCCTAAAGCTTTTGAATTCAACTGCACATTAATAACAAAACACATTCAAACCATGAGAAGTGTAAGTAAAAGGATACACGTCCTTCATCTGGTCAATGGTAGGTGTGCGGATGATGTCGTTGATGCTGATGATGTTTTCATGTTTGAAGCGCAGAAGGATTTTGATCTCTCTCAGGGTGCGTTGGCAGTAGGTCTGGTGCTCAAAAGGGCTGATCTTCTTAATGGCCACACGTATCTTGTTGTCTCGTTCATAGGCAGAGCTGGATAAAAAAAGAAAGAAAAAGAACCCACATTAGACAATCATTTTTAAGTAGAAGAATACTAAAGGAGCCATTACAAAAGACACAGCATTACCAAACTTATTTTCACCCATGTGTCTCCACCTTTAACTTCCTGTTTTGTGCTTTTGAACAGATTTTTGTTTAGCCAAAGTGCATCTTACATATATCCAATAGCATTGCTACAGAAAAGATTGATAGCAGCAATAAATGCCAATACATCCACTTTCTATATGGTTAGGATACCACACAGAGCTGCGATGTGAGCAACTGCCTGGTAAGTCCAAACTGCAGTAAGGAATAAATGATCCACTGACATGAAAGAACATAAAAATTCACATCCCTTCGTGCTGTGTAGACACCACCTCTGGGACTAATGCTGCTTCCTTCCTGTTGTTTGTCAGTGGAAAGCTTTTAATGTTGCCGTTTAAAGTGGTAACAGCAGGAAATGTTCTGTTTGCTTCAGCAGTATCTTAACAATTCCAATACACCTCTGATAGTGTGGAGCAGAAAACAATGAGGCTGCTGCATCTGTTACATTCAAGTACAATCAGTAATGTAGGAGTGGAACAAAGTGTTGATCTACATTTGAGCTACTTAAGTATTGAAACCTGAGAGTTTACCACGATGATACAGGCCAGTAGAGTTTAGAGACCATCTCTGCTTGGCTACCAAACAGGACATTGCACAGGATAAAGCCACTCTGCACACCGCAGATCTATGCCAGATGAATAGCTTGATCGAATAAGCTCACCTCATTGTGGTTTCCGACTCCGTTTAACACTATACTACAAAAGTGCAGAGTATGATGTGTTGTGCAAATCAGACAATAAAAAGATTTTTACTGTAGAATGGACCATGAGCACCATTACATGTTTAAATGCAGTCCATTGTAAAACATTGTGGAAATACAAAATAAATCAGTAAATTACAAATAAATGTTTTGAATTATACTAAACTATCAAGCATGAGATAACATCTGGTAGTGCATAATTGTTCACTTAATCCTACTGAGGAATCCATTGACTGAGTAATTAAGCAAAAAGTAGGGATGCTCCGATCGCCAATTTTGGGGCCGATCGCCGGAATCAGTATCGGCCGATACCGATCGTCGATCCGATCAAGTGGGCGGGGCCTATGGGGATCTTCCATTTAAAGTGATGTTTAAAACTCAGTTAATGGGGCTCATTCACTGGAGCTTCCACAAACAGAAACCAACATAATTATTACATTCAAATGAAGTACATTATTCAAGTTTACATTAACTTTGGATAATAACACGGGAGAAATGAGCGGAAGCGCTCTCTTTTCCTCTCTCCCCCTCTCTCCCTCTCCTGACAGCCTGTCAGTATCTCATGTAGCTCACTGATCCAGTAATGAGTGACCCGACAGTGAAGAATAAACATATTTATAACTTTAGCTAGTTCCAGAGGTAGATCAAATAGGTCTAACTCTTGTGTGTTGCTCCGCTCACCGGTCCGTCACAGCGGGCGGAGCTGCAGGATTTCTGCTTCACACACGTTGCATACCGCTATTTTACTGTCTTTTTCGGACACCTTAAAATAATGCCAGACCGGTGAAGCCATTTTGGCGAGCATGTTTAGCCGCGCACAGAGAAAAGTGTCATGTATTTTACGTCATGCGATCGGCTCTCGCGATCGTCATTTTTAGAGAGCACCGATCGATCGGTAGAGAGTGAGTGTCGGCCGATATCGATCGGCGGCCGACATCGATCGGCGGCTGATCGATCGGAGCATCCCTAGCAAAAAGCATTTTTTTATTTTATTCAATGATTTCATTTTTAGTATATTGTACTTTCTGTGAACCACTTTCTATTCTTTGGAAATGTTCAAGATATACATTTGAGGATTTTAATGAGTACCAGAAAGGCTGAGCACTGACTTTGAATCTTAACTACATGTACGTAGAGGAAACAATATTACAAAGTATTGATTAAAAGTGAATTAATTGCAGATATTCTTTTCCAATAATCGCTCTCAGTAGTGTCTGTGATTTGACAAATCATCTTAAAGAGTGGTAAGAACAACTGGGCACTATTTCACAATATTGCCATCTGTATTTTCAATACAGAAAAGCAGAACATGTACAGGAAATTATATAGGAAGTCTGCATGCATGCAATGCCTTAGTCCTGCAGATATCACAATAAAGCCAGATTCTACGGAGCCCTGGAGGGTTCATAGAGAGAAAAATAAATAAAACGAGGCCACGTTTTATTAATTCGTGCGCACGAGATGTAATTCGTGGCCTCAATATAAATAAAACGAGGCCACGCTTTATTAATTTGAGCGCACGGGATACGTGCTTTCTTATGATTAGACACATCGAACTGCCCGATTATTACGCCATATTATTAGTTTTATGAAGAAGATGTCCGGTCGCCAGGGCGTGTGTGAATGTGTGTGTGTGTGGGCATTTGTTTTCAGAAGATATTATGATAGTGGCGTTCGTTCCGGTGCACTCCGACAGCACTTAGCACTAGCCTACATCGAGATTAAGATTAAACAATCTTCTTTCACTTGGGAATACACATATGGAGTTAGCCAGATGTGTGTAAATTACTGTTCATGGTCATTTGAAAACAAATGCCGGTGTCGGACACACACATACACCGAACACACACACCCCCACTGAGCTGAGCAGAGCACAAACACATCATGTAGCATTTCACGTTTCCATAGCAACAACAACTTCCTGTCAACAGTGTAAACTCGCCTTCAAAATAAAAGCATCTAAATAAAACAGGAAGTTAACCTAAATTACATTTAAGACATATACAACTGCAACGAAAGTAACAAAAACAATGTCATATCCTTTTCAGTTTCACAGAACACAAATTGGGTTATTTACACATCATGCACCCTGATGACCGGACATCTCCTTCATAAAACGAGTAATAGGGGGAATAATTGGGCAGTTCGATGTGTGTGTGTGTGTGTGTGTGTGTGTGTGTGTGTGTGTGTGTGTGTGTGCGTGTGCGTGTGCGTGTGCGTGTGGTTAAAACGTAGCAACCTTGATCTCAATTGAGCTGTTCTAATGAAGGTAAACACAGTGAAGGCGCTGCGTAAAAGACACAGCTCTCTGCGTGCAGATGCAGATACTGTGAGAGTCACGGACATTAATTCATAGATCAAGGCAGACTGGTTCGCAGACTTCTCCGAGTTTGAAATATATCTCAAATAATGTATGCACTGCCATTTCCCCACATAAACATAACAGTCTGCAATGAAACGGTTGTCTCCTGTGCGCTCCACTTCCTACTTGGAGCACCGGTAACTTTCTCGTGCGCACGAGAAAGTATATCATGCGCACGAGAAAGTATATCATGCGCACAAATTAATAAAGTGTGGCCTTGTTTTATTTAAATCGAGGCCACGAATTACATCTCGTGCGCACAAAAACGTGGCCTCGTTTTATTTATTTTTCTCTCTTTGAACCCTCCAGGGCTCCGTAAGATTCAGAAAAAGGGGCAGTAAGTTAATGCACAGAGCTCAGGAGACATTTTACATCACTGCACACAAACGTTTGATAACAAATACAAACAATATTTGCTTATCTTTTTATGAGGAAACTAGAATAAAATCTAGGAAAAGTACAGTACAGAACTTGAAAACTCCTGTGATTGATACGATGCAAACAAGAAAGACATCCCAGCATGCCATTTGCCATTAGGGGGGAGAACATTTGGGTAAAATCTAACTTTTAGCAGCTTAAGGATGACGCTTAACATTGACTTAATTGCATCAACACATGTATTAACCTGTTCAATGATCACTAAGCTCTTTCGGGATATTGGATTTCCCTCTTCCCACTCTGCTGAGGATGGGCGTGTGTGTACGTGTGTGTGTTTTAAGAGTTTGAGAGTGATGATATTGTCGTACAAAACACAGCTTTCCAAACTAATGATTTTAAGCTAAATGCAATAAAAACTGTTTGACATGTATACAAATGACTGTGTGTTTACAATCGGCAGAACAATTGCTAAATTCCACTCTAAAATGTTGGCCGTGCCCATGGTGAAACACCTCCACACAACTCCAGGTACAGACATGTCCACTGTTACATTTCAGTTTCTTTTTTCGGGCTTAATAGCTATGCAAACCTTCCCACATTTACTCAGCGTAGAGATTTTCTGAATCCCCACACAGGTTTGAAACTACGTCTTGCATGCCATTTCATTACTGTAATAAATTCAATACAAAAGCGAAAATGAATATGTTTTAAGTTCTCTGACTATTGCTTGCATATTCACTGTAGGTATTACGATAAATGAGTGGATTTAAGATCAAAACAGCACATGGAGGTTTAAATGAATTAAAGAATACAAGACCATTTCTTATAAACTCCAAAAAAAATTACAGTTTATATTATAGTCTTGTGTTGGTTGCGCAATCTGGCTAGACATTGTCAGTGAACAGGAACTGACACACCAAAACTCACCGCCTACTGCCAAGAAATGCTAATTACCGCTTCCAGTGTCTAAGATTTAATTGATTTCTAAGTCATCTGCTGTCAAACAAGCTGCTGCCATTTGGAGCAATTTAAAAAATGAGATTGTCCAAAAAAAGCTGCACCTCCAGGATTAATCTTTTACATATTCAGCCAATAGTTATTTTATTCCTACACATTACAAACGACAGGCATGACTGAAAAACACCCACACAGTATGACAAAATAAGAAAATGAGTTGCTATAGTGATGGGGGTTGTAGGGGCTCAAATGTAAACATAAGTGTGCCAACCTTCTGTGAGAGAAATATTAGTGACCTTCCTTTCAACTTGTGAGAGAGGAATGTGTGTGTGCGCGTGTGTGTGTGTGTGTGCGCGCGCGCGCGCGCGTGCGTGTGTGTGTGCGCGTGTGTATGCGCATGTGTGTGCACGTGTGTGTGCGCGTGTGTGTGTGAGCTCTCCATGTAACTGCAGATACCCTCACATACAAAGCAGCGGGGAGCTACAGCTAAAA